CTAGAGGTGGGTAACTCAACTCAGAGTTGAGTTATTGAGTTGATTCCTATAAGTGAATCGGTAACTCAGACTCCCTGTCCAAAAAAAATGTAACTCAGTAACTCAGTTGATGCCGTAGGGCTCACATGAATCAATTGAATCATAGTGGCTCATATTTGTCCATATAACTCTCTCGCTTCGCCACAGTGTTTAGCATGGCAAAGTCTTGCATTTTGTTTTTGCACGAGGCGAATTTATACAAGGTGGTGGCAAGAATACAACAACAACAACCACATGTATTTTGTATTGCGGGTGTTATGTCAAATCTCAAAAATTTGTACAATTTCGTTTTTTTTTAGTTTTTCTCGAATTATGTATGTAAGATATATAAAGATGTGCATATGAAATCAATTGCCTTTCCAACCATATCCATATTTTGAAATTCGGTACAATAATTTTCGAAATATAAGCTTTTGAAAATATTGAAAATTCCACCTTTACCCTCCCCCTAGCACCGCCCCTATTAATTTGCACAAAAAAAAATTACACCTTTAAAATCAGTAGAAAGGAGTTGACCACACCCACTTTAAAGTTGTGTTTTATCTCAACGGCCGCTATACCGTATTTATTTATCAAAACGTGTCTACGATACGAATGAGTGTAACATACAAAGAGTCAAATGAGTTAGTTGAATGAGCTGACTCCTTAAGGTGAGTTGGAGTCATTGAGTCAATTCCTATAAATTTGCAGAGTTACCCACCCTTAGTATGAAAAATTAGAGAATCGAGTTCGCAGAATCGTTTCTCGTCGGATTCGACTCTCTAAAATCGATTATTTCGAGTAAATCCTCGATACTACTATCGATAGTATCCCAGCTCTATATTGCTATATATACCGTGTGACCAGCCACGTATGAGTATTTAGAGTAAAACAAGTTCCTTAGTACTGACCAGAGCTGTGTAAGTGTGAAATCATTTTGAATTTTAAATAAACAATTGTTTTCCAATTCAGTTTTCATTGCCTATTCCTCGCTCAAGATTGAGGTTTATAATTTTTAAATTTTCCATTCACTCAAAGCAGTTATGAATTCACACATCAACATATTCATAGCAAGATTGAAAACACCAATGCCAAATCAAAAAAAGGTTCAACACTGAATGAGTATTGAAAAGGCTGCAATCTTTTATGTGCGTGCATTCTTTAAATCAGTACCAATCATTAGTTCAAAGACTCCCTGGTAAACAACTTTTTGATAAAAAGGCAGAATTTTGACAATTGCTCAATTGTAAAAATTCGAAGCGGAGTTACCCAATTTAAGTTGTTTGGCAGAGGGGATTTTATATCATAAATTTGGGATTATATAAAAAACTGTTGTATTAACATTTACCTTTTAAAAATAGTTAATATCTCATATTAAAAATGTTTAAATTTTAAATTAAATTCGATAAACACTTCGCAAAAACTTTACATTTAGTGAACATATTTTAAAAATATTTAGTGTCTTTATGCATCTGATTACTTCACAATGTAACTAGCCAGCACTATTACAGTTTTCAATATCGGGTGCGATTTTTTCTGATTTAATTCGAACACGGAAATCAAACATTTTTATGTGTAATTTAATGCATATTTAGTGGATACACAATTCGTGTTAGACGTCGTAATGTCTTAAAGGCTTACATTTGTTCAATATAAAGTAACGGTTAAAAGCGATTTGAAAGATTCGTTGGGTATAATAAGAGCTAATAATATATTTCCTACTAGTTTAAAACATTTTGGTTATGTTAAAAGACGCCTAAAGAAGTATTAGGTGTTATTTTTCGTTTAAAAATTTTAAGACTTTAACACATTACGACACTTAACACCTCTTGGGAATCCTCCATATGTGTTTGACCATAAACTATATCGTTGTTTATTTGGGTAAAATTAAAATATATTTCACTGTTCAATATTGGAGTTGGTGTGAAGTATGCAAATGAGAACAACAATTATCAACTTATTGAGCATTAGCCTCATTTATTTAAAAAACAAGACATTTTGCTTGGTAAAATTTCGATTCCAAGAATAAAATGTTTTTAAACAAACGAAAAATTAATAATAAAATGAAGGATTTTAGATACTGTGTAGGGTAGCATGAAATTTTACAATATGCTTAATTGTCAGGTGGTTTTTTGTATCATGAAAACACATAGCAACTGATTTCACACTTACAATGGGATAAACTTAAAACTTCTAATATAAATTAGTTAAATTTAGTTAAGTTTTTTTATCAATTTTAAGTTTTCGTTTGGAATAATTTTAATGAACTAATCTATTTAGAGATCTTTTTAGAAAATTTCCGTACATCCGATATCTATTAAAATTTTAACATCCTCATTTTTTGGAAAAAGAAGTTCAAGATACAAGTTTATGTGCAAAAAATAAATTAAACAATAAAAGTCTCCTAATATATATGGAACATATAATAGAAAAATTTTAATTTCATTACCCAGACTTTATGAATAGCCTACTCTATAAGTAATACTAGAAATTCGGAATTAGTAAGTTCAGTCAAGACGTCATTCAAAAGTTTTGAGGAAAATCACTTTTCTCTTTTGTGAAAATTTGGGACTATCTTATGGGAGTATTGTCGACAAAATGTTAGTCTGTGAATGATTAAAAATTAACGAATAAATGGTTAATCGCGATTAATGATTAAAATTAATTAAGCGATCGCTGTAGGGTAGTGGTTAGAAGTGCGCACTACCATTCCGTAGGGTGAGGGTTCGAGCCCAGTTCCGGCCAACATAAAAAAAGAAAATGTTTTTTGTAATAGAAGTCGGCTCCCTGCAGCAGTCGGCGTAAAACTGTAGGTCCCTCCCCTTTTTGCGACAACATCAAGGCGCATGTCACAATCGGAGGAGTAGCTCCGCCAAACACTAACATATGTCCTCTGCAATAACGGCACGATTCAAAATTTCAGGTTTAGAAAAAGACATAATTTGAAAGCTTACAGTATGACTGCAAATAATCCGGAATAATTACGTCCCAAGACAAATTATTGCTAAATTACGAAACAAAAAATCTTTAATTGGCTCTACTGAAATATTTGAAATTTTGAGTTGTGTCGTTATTGCAGAGGACCATCGATATGTAAACGCCTTTCTATTATTATTAGTAATCATCAATACAATTACAAATTACATAAACCTAGTCACAGCCCTTTTTTGTATCCGACGCTTCCAGAAATCACATAATACATAAAATAAATAAAAAGCTGTTTTGAATAATATTACATAAAAAGGAAACTGTTAAAAATAAGTGCGCTGGAGTACAGAGATTTAGAACCCATTTAGTTCCTAAAATGTTTGTTTGCAACACATAGCAATAAAGATGCACATCAAATAGCTAAGAATGATGAAGGAGATCGATTCAGACATGCCTGTTTAACTGGCCGTGCGTGCACAAAACAAGCACATGTAAAATTAGGGCCTATTCAAGTATTATGTAACCACCACGCGGGGGTCTTGGTTTGCTTATTTTTAATGGCGAGGGGCAACATTTCTTCAAATAAGTAAACCATTAACCACACACGCACAAATTTTGCCTGCAATTTCGATCACAATTGAATACTGCACTTCACCCTCGTTTCGAATTTTTGAAAGCGTTTTTTAAGCTATTTAGTGATTTAACACTTCTTGGAGGCGCTTGGTATTGTAAAAAAACTATGCGCAATTTGATCCCCAACTATAGTTTTTAGTAAAGAACGCCCGTTTGCTTTAAATTTGTAAAATTACAATTATTTTTTTACCAAATATAAACATTTTTATATCTATTTATTAAAGTAATAATTTCCAATAATAATTTATTTAATTAATACTTTATTAAAACACAAATTTTAAGTGCAAATACATTTGTAAAACTATTTATCAGAAAATGTTATTAATTGTTCGCACTATAGTTTTCATGCATTTTGAGAACAAATAATCGAGGATGTATACATACAAATGTATAGCATGTACTTACGGCGGCAGCCTTAGCAGTGATTATATGTCCGTACTTCCACTTCATAGGCCCATTGTTAGATCCCTGGTCAAATCATAACCCAAAATAGCAGTCGTCCTTCGGCACGCAATGGCAAACCCTCAAGTATACTTCTGCCTTGAAAACTCTTCTTATAAAATCATTTGGCGTTCGGAGTCAGCCTTAAATATGTAGCTGTCTGCATTTGTGTCACAACAACAGAACTCATGCCTCAAGTTTGAGGAGAAGCTCGGCCATATTTATTTGTTTACTTATTTTAAGGTAGATGGAAATCTTCTGGTTTCACATTTTGAGTACAAAAAACTCAACCCTGATACAACAAATACTGAATGATAATGACAGATTGCAATCACATAAACGTACGATCATACATGATTGAGGTTTTCTTTTGCATTCACATTCTCTATGTGAATGGGTGTCAACCATTCCATAAGACACTACATATTTTGTGTTTACAATTTGTAACCAATCTCAAGAGTGGTTGTTAAATATTTGAAATCAAACAATCACATTTTTGAAACGAAAAAAATTAGAATACACACTCAATTGATTCAATCATTACACAGCTTTGGTATTGACCAACTAAATTTTTCTGCGACTTACATTGCTCAGTTTGGAAGTACTTAGTTAGAAGACTGGCGAATGGCTTCCACCGATTTTCCGTCATGTTGTCCCTGTCCTGAGTAATTCAAATAATAAGACTTCAGTTTCTTTCTAAATGTTAGTTTTAGATAGGGTTGCCAGACGTACCCCATTGGGGGGGACATGCCCTATTTTGACTTTTTGTCCCCCCTTGTTGCGTAGGTTCCCCATTTTTGCCCGAAATCGTTCACTTTTCGCTTGTTTCCGCGTGTTTGTATTGTTCGACTTCAAAAGGCGATTAGTTGAATCAAAGCTGAACGAAAAGTACCATTTTGTTTTGAAAATATTCTTATGCCATATTTAAGGCTAAATATGTATGTTCGTATTCTTCCACTTTCACCGGCGATTAGTTGAATCAAAGTTTAATGAAAAGTATAATTTTTATTTGAAAATGTGCATATGGTAAAATTTTTCTCTTTAACATTACAGTCGCACGTATATTTCTGTTTATATATCTCAAACGTAGTGCAAAAACCGAAAGTTCTTCATTTATCCCAATAATAAACCCCAAAAGCTACATTTTATATACAAACACTTGTTTCCTATCTTTTGTTGTTTTATAGATAATAGTGGTTTTAAGTGGTATTTAACGTTATATTTTTTGGAAGACAGTTATACATAAGGTCACGAAATGTCGTACAAAAAAAGAAAATTTTTGGTTTGCTTTTGAATACGGCTTCATCGAGTGCGACATAAAGACCGAGGTATAAATACTTGACAGAAATATGTGTTGAATCAAATCAGCTTTTTGTTAATGCGGTTCTTGCGTAGGTATAAACAAGGAATATGAGAAATCTATAAACCAAAATATGCAGTATTTAACATTACTTACCATTCTTGACTATCACTCCTATTCTGCAACTCTTTCGTTTCGAGTTTCGCTACGAATCGTAGAAATAGTATGCTGCAATCCGAATCGTATTTTCGAACTTTCGAAATTCGTAACAATGGCATGCCTAAAAACGAACGAGTAAGCTTTTTTGCGTAATTTTGTACGAAAACAATTCTGTGTCGGAGGCGAAATCGTGTAATCAAAGGATTAAAATTTTATTTAAAATAAATGTTTCCGATTTCCGAGTACCGAGCTTATTAATAAATTCGGTTTGCACTATGCACTTTTTTTGCAAATTTCGACGTGGGTTCTGCGCAAAAATACTGTGGACGGCGTAGCCGGAGTGATATGCACAAGAAATGTTGTATACCTTTGACATGCGGAAGCCCCTCTTCTCCGGCAACACAGAAAGGAGAATTCTACTTAGTAACGGTTATAATCCCTAAGCGCGGCCGAAAGCAGAAGCAAATGCAAAAGGTGGTGGACCTAACAAAGTGCATGTTTTCAATGGCTTGGAAGAAGATGTTATTGCATCTGGATTGAGAACTATTTCTTTAGGCATAGGAGTAGTTCTGGCTTGTGGTTCAACAATTCAACCAGAAGCTGACATAGATTCGCCCATGGTTACTATGCCCGACAGCTCCGCATACCTTTGTGAATCCATTACCATAGCGCCCGCTTACTCTGCTGCTATAATTGCAAATACATCAGAATCCATAATTTTTCTCAAAATATGTAAAATTAACCAATTTTACAATAAATAAGCGCATGATAAGTGTTTTTTTAATTCCTTTCAACTTTGTTTTACTTCATTCAGCTATCTTCGAAAAGCAACTGATAGCTGGCAATGCTGCACATGTTTCCGCAAGGGCTGCAGTATGTGGATTTTTGTTTTCGTAGCGTAGCTACGAATTGCGAATTACGAAAATTCGTGTTCTAGAATAAGTAGTGATGGCACGATTAATCGAATAACCGATTATAATCAGTTATTTTCATTCGGTTAACGATTTAATTCTATCGAAATTTTTCTTTCGATTAATCGGGCGATTAACCGATTAATTTTTCAAAATAATCGAAAAGAAACCATCAAAAATTTACTAATTTACGCACACAATAATGTATGAATCAAAATAAGTTGACATGTTTTTTACACTCTCGTATTCTGCAAATTTTTTAAACAATATTATTGCCAAAAGCCGCAACACAAGCTTAACCTAAGTAGCTACTAAAAAATCACAACCCAGGTANGTTCGGTGTTGCGCATTTTCCTTTTTTTTATATGGAAGAAAATAACCGAACAGAAAAATACCAAAAATCAGCGGTAAGTGCCAGATACTTAAGTCTTGGAATTTTTCATACAAAAATTTTATGGGATACAAAACTGATCACTGAAAATCTTTTTAAGAAATCTAATTTAAAAGGTGGAATTTTTTTTTTTTTTTCTTTAATATTGCACAAAGTTTGATATATTTATATTTATAAGTTTTTTTTTGCTAAAGAATAAGCTATATTTAAAAAATAACTAAAATAAAATAACCCAAAAAAAATCTTGTCGTGCACTATAATTTTGACACGGGGTGTAAGCTAGTTTCTATAACTGATAAATGGTTTTTATCAATTTTCGATTTTAATCGAAATGACCGATTAATCGGTTAATTTCTTACGATTAATTGCAATTATTAATCGAATGCTTTCGATTAATCAATTAACCGATTAATCGATTATTAAATTTTTTTTGCCATCACTAAGAATAAGGGGGTATAATTTTCAATTTGATCGCATGCGAGGCACAAGAGAAGAGAACGCGCACCGCATACTTTGTATATCAATCGGCACTTGTTTCAGGATGCCTTAAGACGTATATCAAAAAAATGTATCAAGAGTTGAAGGGTGAGTCAAAGAAATATTTTTTTTCACTCGTTCCCAAAATTTTGACCATATGGAAACTGTGCATAAGAAATAATGCATATGAAAAAAAACCGAAATAATGCAAACGAAAAACCCAAATAATGCATATATGCACAGTTTCGGTAGAAAACCGCTATAATCCATAATTCAACAAAAACAGTTACTGGGTTACTTTGCCGAATATTGCTTAATGTCTAAAATAATTTCTCATTCTTTCAATTAATCCCTACTACTACTACTACTACTATTTTTTATCTTTTTTCTTTAATACCTTCTACAACTTCAATTTTTCTTACCACTAAATTTGGATTGATATGGTTTTTGTTAGATATTGAGCTATACTTTTATAAAGAAATAATGAAAAATTAAAACAAAAATAGCCGAAACTGGCCAAAATGGTGAGGGATTAATACGTACATACCTGTAGTATCCATTTTTAATAGCAAAACAAAAACAACAAAAAACAAAAAAATTATAGCTTTCAAAACATTGTGAATATTTAAAAAAAGGTATAGTGGAGCGAGCGTATTTATTTATGCTGCGGTAAAAATAAAAGCACTACAATTAAAAATAATATTTTTTGCAACTTATATTTATTTCCTTATTTTTAATAATGTTTTTAAAATATAATTCCATCTATTAAAGAAACGACATATATAAAAGTTGCAAAATATATTATTTTTAATTGTGTTTCTATTATTTTTACCGTAACTGTACCTGCAAATGAATTCAAAACTAAAGAACTTTACTTTCTATTAAATTTAAAAATGACTATGCGAACAAATGTTAGATAGGGCATTTCTATATTCAGGTAACCATATCTATTTATATATTTTTGTAATAAAAATAATTTCCGCTTTGTATGGAACAATATATTTTATTGCAAAATAAATACATGCGTACATGTATAGAAAAGAAACAAAACTTATTTTCAATTCACTAATTAATAACAAAAAAAGGTACATGAAGGCACTTACGTAAACATGCAACCATATAAATGCATATAAATAACCACGGAAATTATATTTATAAAAATGTAGTTCATACTTCAACTTGAAGCGTATAACCCACGACAGTCGGGGACTGTCACTCCAGCAAAATCCTCAAAATATCTTTGGGCAATTTGTATGCTGTTACAACAACAACAACTCAAAACATCAAACCAAACAATTTAGAAAATTCACGAAATTTTCACAAAAATTCCTGGTACGCAGTTTTATAGACCATTCAGTTTTAGTAAAATAAAATGTAGTTTTTCATATTTTTATAAAAATAATAACAAACAAATTTAGCTTGCAAAATGTTGTGAATATTTAAAAAATAAACGTTTTGTGCAGACTTTTGTTGTTAAGTGTACATATTTATGTATGTACATATAAAACAATTAAAATTTTCAGCCCCGGAAAAAACACATTTTATTTTACTAAAACTGAATGGCCTATAAAACTGCGTACCAGAAAATAAACATTTTATTTTACTAAAACTGAATGGCCTATAAAACTGCGTACCAGGAATTTTTGTGAAAATTTCGTGAATTTTTCTAAATTGTTTGGTGTGATGTTTTGAGTAATACGCTTCTAGTTGAAGTATGAACTACAATTTTATAAAAAATTAACGAAATATATTTAATATGAAAAAATTGGGAATATTTCAATAAAACCCCTTTGTGAGTAATCATTAATATGCATATATAATGTTGTCAAAATAGGAGAATCATATCGTTGCACATTAACGTACATATATCGTTAACATTAATCAGTCAATATATTAAGCAAGAATTTAAAACTTGCAAGTAAATTCATTTCACTTACACTTGTGATCAGCTAATTAAGCCAGCAACATTTTGGTCAATTTTGGCTATTTTACTTTTGTTTATTTCATGTTTATTATTTTTCCATAAAATCTAGCTCATTATATAACAAACACCATATAAATCCACATTTCAAACTTTGTGCAAAAATTATGAAAAATCTGCAAAGTTTCAGTTAAATTTTCAACTTTTTATTCAGATTTTTTAGAATTTTTTTGAGTATGCAGTTTAATAGCCCACTAAATTCTAGATAATAATGTGCAAGTCTTAAGTAGCTAAAGAATCGTGTTGATTTTTAATAATTTTTTTTCTGGCTCCTGAAGTTGATGGATTTGGTTGGAAATCTTCGATTGTTGTTGTTGTTGTAGCGGCTACAACAACCCCGCCCAGGACGGTTGGTATCTCAGTCGTTGTCGTCAAGTTCCACTAACGGCAACCCTAGGAAGCGTGCAGCTACTGTGGGGTTTGTCCACAGGGACAAGGCCGTTAGGGTTATCGGGTTTTCCGGGCATACGAAGAGATGTTTCGAGTCATGTGGGGTATCTTCGCATGCCGGACACTTATTCGGCACATCCTCATTCAACCTACTCAGGTAGGAGTTCAACCTGCTACAGTAGCCGGAGCGAAGTTGTGCAAGTGTTGTGCGAGTCTCCCGAGGCAGATGAAGCTCCGTCTCGTCTATGTCCGGGGGTGGTATGCCGAGAACGGCATTCACAGGTCTAGAGTCTACATAACTCGAGACTGAGTCCCTGTGAATGCCGTTCAGGGCCAGTCGGTAAGCTGTCGGGTCCAGAGATTGCTTGATGAACCTCTGGACTTCGTCTCTCAGTTCATATAGATGCCTCCTGACGTGCCTAGGCGAGGGCTCTTCTGCAAGCAGCTGTCTGCTTGGGTGGCCACTTCTGTGGCTCCCGATCAGGAACTGCTTGCAGAGCATTATATTGTGCTCCTTTACGGGGAGCATTTGCGCCTCGCCGTGTAGATGGTGTTCAGGCGACATCAGGAGGCATCCTGTCGCTTTCCTGAGTGCGGTGTTCTGTACAGTCTGTAGCTTCGTCCACTGCGTCCTACTAGTCCCTGGCGACCACACTGGCGCTGCGTAGTTCAGAACCGGCCGGCCTATTGCCTTGTATGTTGCCAGCAACGTTTCTTTGTCTTTGCCCCAAGTACTGCCGGCTAGCGACTTGAGGACCTTGTTGCGGCTCTGTACTTTATTGACAATAGCGGTTGAGTGCGCAGAGAAGAGGAGCAGGCTGTCGAATGTTACTCCGAGTATTTTGGGGTTATTCACCGTCGGAATTGGTGTGTCATCGACGTGAATCCCCAGCGGTAGCCTGACCTCCTTCGTCCAGGTTGTGAACAGGGTCGCGGAGGATTTCGTAGGGGAGAGGGCTAGACACGTTGCAGTGAAGAAGCGAGAAAGTTCGGAGAGATACCCGTTTACTTTCGAACACAGATCATCAATTCCATTCCCAGTCGCCATGATCGAGCAATCGTCGGCATAAGAGACAATCGAGACTCCCTCTGGTGGTTGAGGGAGCTTTGAAATGTAAAAGTTAAACAGTAGCGGGGAAAGGACACCACCCTGAGG